CTGGGAGGAGAACGTGTTTCTGACACCCAAAGACAGGGGAAAGGCCAGGGACAGTGTGTTTCTGAGCCCAGAGGTCAGCGAGCAGGGTAAAAAAAGAGCTTATGTTTCCCGGGACACGAGTACATCTGGGAGGAGAACGTGTTTCTGACACCCAAAGACAGCGGCGATAGCAAAGGACAGTGTGTTTCTGAGACCAGAGGGCAGCGAGCACGGCAAAAAAGAGTTTGTGTTTCCTGGCACCCGAGTACAGCTGGGAGGAGAACGTGTTTCTGACACCCAAAGACAGGGGGAAAGGCCAGGGACAGTGTGTTTCTGAGCCCAGAGGTCAGCGAGCAGGGTAAAAAAAGAGCTTATGTTTCCCGGGAGACGAGTACATCTGGGAGGAGAACGTGTTTCTGACACCCAAAGACAGCGGCGATAGCAAAGGACAGTGTGTTTTCGGAGCCCAGAGGGCAGCGAGCACGGCAAAAAAGAGTTTGTGTTTCCCGGGAGCCGAGTACAGCTGGGAGGAGAACGTGATTCTGACACCCAAAGACAGGGGAAAGGCCAGGGACAGTGTGTTTCTGAGCCCAGAGGTCAGCGAGCAGGGTAAAAAAAGAGCTTATGTTTCCCGGGAGACGAGTACATCTGGGAGGAGAACGTGTTTCTGACACCAGAAGACAGGGGGAAAGGCAGAGGACAGTGTGTTTTCGGAGCCCAGAGGGCAGCGAGCACGGCAAAAAAGAGTTTGTGTTTCCCGGGAGCCGAGTACAGCTGGGAGGAGAACGTGATTCTGACACCCAAAGACAGGGGAAAGGCCAGGGACAGTGTGTTTCTGAGCCCAGAGGTCAGCGAGCAGGGTAAAAAAAGAGCTTATGTTTCCCGGGAGACGAGTACATCTGGGAGGAGAACGTGTTTCTGACACCAGAAGACAGGGGGAAAGGCAGAGGACAGTGTGTTTCTGAGCCCAGAGGTCAGCGAGCAGGGCAAAAAAGAGCTTGTGTTTCCTGGCATCCGAGTACAGCTGGGAGGAGAACGTGTTTCTGACACCCAAAGACTGTGGGAAAGGCCAGGGACAGTGTGTTTCTGAGACCAGAAAAGGACAGTGAGACCAACAAAGGACAGTGTGTTTCTGAGCCCAGAGGTCAGCGAGCAGGGTAAAAAAAGAGCTTATGTTTCCCGGGACACGAGTACATCTGGGAGGAGAACGTGTTTCTGACACCCAAAGACAGCGGCGATAGCGAAGGACAGTGTGTTTCTGAGACCAGAGGGCAGCGAGCACGGCAAAAAAGAGTTTGTGTTTCCCGGGAGCCGAGTACAGCTGGGAGGGGAACGTGATTCTGACACCCAAAGACAGGGGAAAGGCCAGGGACAGTGTGTTTCTGAGCCCAGAGGTCAGCGAGCAGGGTAAAAAAAGAGCTTGTGTTTCCCGGGACCCGAGTACAGCTGGGAGGAGAACGTGTTTCAGAGACCCGAAGACAGCGGGGGCCGCGTTAGGGTTACACAGGTTGACCCGAGGACGGCGGGAGTGAGGGGAATCCTACGCTCGGGTCGCCGGGACCCGAGGGTAGTGTGAGGGTTAAGTTTTTCGTCTTGTAAAATGCAGTTCCCAGGTTATGTATGTGCTTTTATGCAGTCAAATTGACAGGTTGAACTGAATTTGTTCTGTTTACTGGATTTCTTGACTGGCTGTAATGCATCTAGAAATGTAAGTTTTTTTTGGTGGAATGCACCTTCGATAGCTCAGATGGTGGAGCGGAGGACTGAATTGTTACATGCTGTAATTCTTAGGCTGTGAATGTTCGCTGTAAACTACGTGGCCAAGTCTTAAGTTTTTTGTCTTGTAAAATGCAGTTCCCAGGTTATGTATGTGCTTTTATGCAGTCAAATTGACATGTTGAACTGAATTTGTTCTGTTTACTGGATTTCTTGACTGGCTGTAATGCTTCTAGAAATGTACGGTTTGTTTGGTGGAATGCACCTTTGATAGATCAGATGGTGGAGCGGAGGACTGAATTGTTACATGCTGTAATTCTTAGGCTGTGTTTCAAGTCTAGCTTGAACGATGCCTGTTCCTTTTTGCTGCTGTACCATTTGACTTGTAAAAATCCTGGCAAATAATGTTAGAATGTGCAAAACAGCATTCTTCCCTGACCGGGAATCGAACCCGGGCCGCGGCGGTGAGAGCGCCGAATCCTAGCCACTAGACCACCAGGGAGAGACGACTGCCAACAGACCCTCTGGGATGGATGCACATTTGTTGACTTTATGTTGCTTTGAAGAAAGACAGGGACCAGTGTTGCATTTATGTTTCACAGATTGGATATACTGAGATCTACTCTGCTTAGTCAGCGTATGTCAGGGGATGTAGCTCAGTGCTAGAGCGCATGCTTCGCTTGTATGATGTCCTGGGTTCCATCCCCAGCTTCTCCATTCTGTTTTGTCATTGTTTCATAAGCTCAAAACCTCCTTTCTGGAATGTCAAGATCATGAATGTTTGCTGTGGCCAAGTCTTTAGTTTTTTGTCTTGTAAAATGCAGTTCCCAGGTTATGTATGTGCTTTTATGCAGTCAAATTGACAAGTTGAACTGAATTTTTTCTGTTTACTGGATTTCTTGACTGGCTGTAATGCTACTAGAAATGTACGGTTTGTTTGGTGGAATGCACCTTTGATAGATCAGATGGTGGAGCGGAGGACTGAATTGTTACATGCTGTAATTCTTAGGCTGTGTTTCAAGTCTAGCTTGAACGATGTCTGTTCCTTTTTGCTGCTGTACCATTTGACTTGTAAAAATCCTGGCAAATAATGTTAGAATGTGCAAAACAGCATTCTTCCCTGACCGGGAATCGAACCCGGGCCGCGGCGGTGAGGCGCACTAGACTAGACCACCAGGGAGAGACTACTGCCAACAGACCCTCTGGGATGGATGCACATTTGTTCACTTTATGTTGCTTTGAAGAAAGACAGGGACCAGTGTTGCATTTATGTTTCACAGATTGGATATACTGAGATCTACTCTGCTTGGTCAGGGCTATGTCAGGGGATGTAGCTCAGTGCTAGAGCGCATGCTTCGCTTGTATGATGTCCTGGGTTCCATCCCCAGCTTCTCCATTCTGTTTTGTCATTGTTTCATAAGCTCAAAACCTCCTTTCTGGAATGTCAAGATCATGAATGTTTGCTGTGGCCAAGTCTTAAGTTTTTTGTCTTGTAAAATGCAGTTCCCAGGTTATGTATGTGCTTTTATGCAGTCAAATTGACATGTTGAACTGAATTTGTTCTGTTTACTGGATTTCTTGACTGGCTGTAATGCTACTAGAAATGTAAGTTTTTTGGTGGAATGCACCTTTGATAGCTCAGATGGTGGAGCGGAGGACTGAATTGTTACATGCTGTAATTCTTAGGCTGTGATTCAAGTCTAGCTTGAACGATGTCTGTTCCTTTTTGCTGCTGTACCATTTGACTTGTAAAAATGGCAAATATGGTTAGAATGCGAAAAACAGCATTCATCCCTGACCGGTGCAGTCCACTAGACCACCAGGGAGAACTGCCAACTGACCCTCTGGGATGGATGCACACTTGTTCACTTTAAGTTGCTTTGAAGAAAGACAGGGGCCAGTGTTGCAATTGTTTCACAGATTGGATATACTGAGATCTACTCTGCTTGGTCAGGGCTTGTCTGGGGATGTAGCTCAGTGGTGTGAGCGCATGCTGTTGAACTGAATTTGTATGATGTCCTGGGTTCAATCCCCAGCTTCTCCATGCTGTTTTGTCAAAGTTTCATAAGCTCAAAACCTCCTTTCTGGAATGTCAAGATCATGAATGTTCGCTGTAAACTACGTGGCCAAGTCTTAAGTTTTTTGTCTTGTAAAATGCAGTTCCCAGGTTATGTATGTGCTTTTATGCAGTCAAATTGACATGTTGAACTGAATTTGTTCTGTTTACTGGATTTCTTGACTGGCTGTAATGCATCTAGAAATGTAAGTTTTTTTTGGTGGAATGCACCTTCGATAGCTCAGATGGTGGAGCGGAGGACTGAATTGTTACATGCTGTAATTCTTAGGCTGTGAATGTTCGCTGTAAACTACGTGGCCAAGTCTTAAGTTTTTTGTCTTGTAAAATGCAGTTCCCAGGTTATGTATGTGCTTTTATGCAGTCAAATTGACATGTTGAACTGAATTTGTTCTGTTTACTGGATTTCTTGACTGGCTGTAATGCTTCTAGAAATGTACGGTTTGTTTGGTGGAATGCACCTTTGATAGATCAGATGGTGGAGCGGAGGACTGAATTGTTACATGCTGTAATTCTTAGGCTGTGTTTCAAGTCTAGCTTGAACGATGCCTGTTCCTTTTTGCTGCTGTACCATTTGACTTGTAAAAATCCTGGCAAATAATGTTAGAATGTGCAAAACAGCATTCTTCCCTAACCGGGAATCGAACCCAGGCCACTAGCCACTAGACCACCAGGGAGAGACGACTGCCAACTGACCCTCTGGGATGGATGCACATTTGTTCACTTTAAGTAGCTTTGAAGAAAGACAGGGGCCAGTGTTGCAATTACGTTTCACAGATTGGATATACTGAGATCTACTCTGCTTGGTCAGGGCATGTCAGGGGATGTAGCTCAGTGGTAGAGCGCATGCTTCGCTTGTATGATGTCCTGGGTTCCATCCCCAGCTTCTCCATTCTCTTTTGTCAATGTTTCATATGCTCAAAACCTCCTTTCTGGAATGTCAAGATCATGAATGTTCGCTGTAAACTACGTGGCCAAGTCTTAAGTTTTTTGTCTTGTAAAATGCAGTTCCCAGGTTATGTATGTGCTTTTATGCAGTCCAATTGACATGTTGAACTGAATTTGTTCTGTTTACTGGATTTCTTGACTGGCTGTAATGCTTCTAGAAATGTACGGTTTGTTTGGTGGAATGCATCGTCGATAGCTCAGATGGTGGAGCGGAGGACTGAATTGTTACATGCTGTAATTCTTAGGCTGTGTTTCAAATCTGGCTTGAACGATGTCTATTCCTTTTTGCTGCTGTACCATTTGATGTTTCATATGCTCCAAACGTACTTTCTGGAATGTCAAGATCATGAATGTTCGCTGTAGCCTACGTGGCCAAGTCTGTTATGTATGTGCTTTTATGCAGTCCAATTGACATGTTGAACTGAATTTGTTCTGTTTACTGGATTTCTTGACTGGATTTAATGATTCTAGAAATGTACGGTTTGTTTGGTGGAATGCACCTTTGATAGATCAGATGGTGGAGCGGAGGACTGAATTGTTACATGCTGTAATTCTTAGGCTGTGATTCAAGTCTAGCTTGAACGATGTCTGTTCCTTTTTGCTGCTGTACCATTTGACTTGTAAAAATCCTGGCAAATATGGTTAGAATGCGCAAAACAGCATTCATCCCTGACCGGTAATCGAACCCCGGCCACTAGACCACCAGGGAGAGACGACTGCCAACTGACCCTCTGGGATGGATGCACACTTGTTCACTTTAACCCTTGTGCTGTCCTCGCATCGCGTACACACCCCGAGTCGAGCTGGTCAGAATGACCCTCGATCTCTTTTCACAGCCCTCAGAGTGTTGCAAAAAGGAGGAGGCCGAAATACAACAACGTGCACGTGTTTCCCTGTAATCGATTTATTATTTTTATCGTTATTAGTAATTATCTGGGAGGGCTAAAAAAAGACACTTGCCCGGGCGAGGCTCGAACTCGCCACCTCGGCATCTAACCCCCCCGTTGTCCTCGCGTCGCGTACACCCCCCAGGTCGAGTGGGTCCGAGTGACCCGCGATCCCATTTCACACAGCCCTCAGAGTTTTGCAAAAAGGAGGAGGCCGAAATACAACAACGTGGGCATGTTTCACCGTTGTCCATCTGTTATTACTATCTTTCTTAGTATTTATCGCCGAGTGTGAGAAAAACCACCGCAACGGGCGAGGCTCGAACTCACAACCCCGGCATCTAACCCCAGCCATTGTCCTCGCGTCGCGTACACACCCCGGATTGAGCGGGTCCGAGTGACCCGCGATCCCATTTCACACAGCCCTGGGAGTTTTGCAAAAAAGAGGAGGCCGAAATACAACAACGTGCGCGTGTTTCACCGTTGTCCATCTGTTATTACTATCTTTTTTAGTATTTATCGCCGAGGGTGTAAAAAACCACCGCACCGGGCAAGGCTCGAACTCACAACCCCGGCATCTAACCCCAGCCGTTGTCCTCGCGTCGCGTACACACCCCGGATTGAGCGGGTCCGAGTGACCCGCGATCCCATTTCACACAGCCCTGGGAGTTTTGCAAAAAAGAGGAGGCCGAAATACAACAACGTGGGCATGTTTCACCGTTGTCCATCTGTTATTACTATCTTTTTTAGTATTTATCGCCGAGGGTGTAAAAAACCACCGCACCGGGCGAGGCTCGAACTCACAACCCCGGCATCTAACCCCAGCCGTTGTCCTCGCGTCGCGTACACACCCCGAATTGAGCGGGTCCGAGTGACCCGCGATCCCATTTCACACAGCCCTCAAGAGTTTTGCAAAAAAGAGGAGGCCGAAATACAACAACGTGCGCGTATTTCACCGTTGTCCATCTGTTATTACTACCTTTATTAGTATTTATCTGCGTGGGTGTAAAAAACCACCGCACCGGGCGAGGCTCGAACTCACAACCCCGGCATCTAACCCCAGCCATTGTCCTCGCGTCGCGTACACACCCCGGATTGAGCGGGTCCGAGTGACCCTCGATCCCATTTCACACAGCCCTCAAGAGTTTTGCAAAAAAGAGGAGGCCGAAATACAATAACGTGCGCGTGTTTCACCGTTGTCCATCTATTCTTACTACCTTTATTAGTATTTATCGGCGAGGGTGTAAAAACCACCGCACTGGGCGAGGCTCGAACTCACAACCCCGGCATCT